TTAATAAAATGCCATTTCAATTATTTTTTTTCTGAATTGCATAGTTACAAAATGACAAGTTATCATTATAGAAAAACTAAGTAATTTTAATACTTTTCAGTTTTTGAAGCCTACTTATTGGTTTTGATTAGAATTGAATTACTTTTTTTAATTAATTTCGGTGCCATTGACTATAGGTAATTAAATTTGATATTTATCTATTTCTTTGTATTAAAATATACATTATTCAAATTACAATCTGTAATAAATGTTCAATGAGCAAATAGGATAAAATATAAGATGATAATATTTACAGGATATGTATTATTTAAATACTTAATTAATGTTACTATAATTACCATAATACCATATCATTAAACCTGGACTAAGGACAAGAGCTGTCTTAAAAAAATATTTATTTGGCACCCCTTAGGTTTTGGTGTAAAAACTCTTTTTGTATCTATGTTAATTCAGTCCTCCGTATCATTAAATGTAATAAAAATAATATCTTATGAATTATGATCCTTATCTAATACATTCATGTAAAAATTGCATAACTACCAGGAACCATCAATTATTAACCATGTTAAGTGGTGCTTTTATACTCCCCTCTTTTCTTATAATAGGTACTTATTTGATTGTCCTATGACTACGGTAATGTTATTTTCAATTTATGAAGTCCAGGGATGGGTAAATCAAAGTTTCTAGGGGCCAATTTTTAGAACTTAAAAATATAGTAGGCCAGAAAGTAATTAAAATAAAAAAAAAAAGATTCAATACAATTTATAACTAACATTTACTTTTTATATTTACAATATATTTTAATATTAAAAACATAATAAAATAAAATACAGATTAACCTTAAAATTTTATAGAGTACCGAATTATAATAATATGTACCAAACGTCAAATAAAAAAATATATATGGATCATCAGTTGCCTATACCTAATAAAATCAATAGTATAGAATTCAATAAAGATTATCTGACCATTTATCCTGCTAGAAAATATTATTTGATATAAAAAGAAAACCAAATAAGTCATTGTAATTTGTAAAACCAATTAATAGGATATAGGTAACTGTGTACTAATAATAATACTCGTTACAATGTTAACCGTTCTAGAAGTTCTAATTATAACTGATAAACTTATATTCCAACATAAACTCATATAATAAGTCAGTAAATTATAGCAACACAAGAATTCTGAATTTAGTCAAAAATATTATTTTGTAATAGATTAGCAATTTTATACCAATACAAAATGGGATAGTATTCACTAAAATGTATACTGTAATTAAATATTAGAAATTTACACTTCTAGTCTTTTAGGTATATTTTAATAAATAATTATGGCAACCAACATTATATTATATATTAAAACTTAAGCTTTGTATCATGTTTATAAAACAATAATATGACTAATTTTATTAATATTAATAACTAATAACTTATTAGTTTATTAAATTGTTTATTAATTTTATTTAAATTTTCATAAGCAAAAAGTATAAGATGCATAATAGGTATAATAAATATGCATTACAAAAATGTAATTTGTTAAATTGTAATTTAATTTTTAATCATTAAGTAATACATTGTAGAAAATATTTTATTAAAATTAAATGGTAGGCACATTGGTGATATAAATAGGAAAAAAGTACGATTTAATGCAGTATATGTTAGATAAAATAGGTAAAGCTACGTCTCTGCTATAAAACTCGTACAACCAATCTGTATAGAAGAATTTAGTAACTTTTTTTAACGTCCGAATTCTGAATATTCTTTGAGTCATAAAATATTTGATATTACATTAACGTACCTGTAATCTGTTTTTTTTTTGCTCAACACCTTTTTTGATCGTTAGATATATATTTGTAGGTACGGTTTTTTGTTAAAATATGCAAAAATATGGAGCATAAAATTTTGATATTTAATCAATCAATTTTTAATATGTGGACACTCATTGACTACTACATGTATATGATATTAAAAATAGCAACATGCATTTTTACAAAATCCGGCCATTTCTGATAAATAAAGCGCGGACTTGTATGCATTTACATATTTATTCTAATTGATCGTATGATATGCTAAATGAGCACAAAATTTGTCCATGATATGACGATTTAAAAAAATGAAACTTTTTAGTGCATATTTTTGTATATTTCCATATTTTTCTATTTTAAGAGCTTTTAGTGCATATTTTGATGTTTTTAATAGGTATATAAACGGGTTTTCCAAATATGACCTTAAATCAATAATCGGGAAAATAAAATAATATTTTTCTTAAATATTTTATTTTTGATTAATCTTATGAAGATATAAAAATATCTATGACGGCCATGATTGAACACTGACATTTTACTGTTGTTCAAAAAATAATTTTTTTATTTTTCGCGCATATTTTAATATTTTAGTGCATATATTTATACATATTTAAGATTTTTAGTGCATATTTGGTTGGTTTTTAATGCATATGAAACCGCGGTCTACAGTAATAAGAGTGAGGATATTACAGGAACATCAAATAAACAAATTAAAATTAAATTTTTTGCTAATATTTTTATTGTACATTTTTAACAATTTTTAATTAGTTTTATACAAAATAAATAAATTAAAATATTTTAATAGAATACATTAGGGTACATGTTGATTATTATTATTCTTATTATCATCATTTTAAATTATTTTACATGTATTTATTTATATGGTTTAAGACTTAAGAAAAACAATTATATTTTTTATTTGAGACATTACTAGTACTTAGTCTAAAAAAAATTAACTACTCTCCTATTTTATAATTTTGAAAATTTAAGCATTTTACTATCACATATATGATGTGATTACTGTCTACATATACTTAATGAATAATTTTAGTTAAATATTTGTGGTTTCATTGTATCTACCAGAAATGTTTACAACCATAACCATTTTTATACATATTGATATGATCCTTATATTAGGTCTATAACCAGTATCGCATAAATTCATATTATATATATTATATTTGTCTGAAAAAAATGACAACGCGATCTTAACCATTAATAACCAAGGTTACTATAATAATAATAAATATAATTTTAGACTTCTGCGCTATTTTTCTCATCTATAATACAAAATTCACATGCAACGCTATTGCCTACTAGTTTTTAACAGGTAACTCAAATTTACTTATCATCTATATCCATTTTTATATTATTTAAATATATATTTATCAATACATAACTATTTTGTATCATATTTACATTTTAGTTATAGTACATACCAGAGGTGGCCAACACGGACAGATTCTTGGGTTACATAGATAAATATAATGATACCTAGAGCCAAAATGTTAATAGACACATTTTATATAATTTGATAATATTTTATAAGCTAATACCTAAAAAATTTAAATTCATAATAATATTAAGTAAATTTTGTTTTTATAAATGAGACACAAGCTGCATCTGACAATGATAAGAGCCACATATGACCCGCGAGTCGCAAGTTGTCCACCTATAGTATATACTTATTTATAATATAATTATAATTACTGATGAACATCAACATAGTTATTAAAATAGATACAGTTGTTACAGTTTTATTTGTCAAGCACAAACATTAAGTAAAAAGAAATGAATGTGATTACAATTTATCAAATTATTAATTTAGGTAATTAGGTTACAAATTAAGGTAATTAAGTTACAAATTTAGGTTTAATACGTATATGATAATTATGTTGCAGAAATAATAATAATAATAATATTTCGTGAATTTATAAATAAAATAAAATATAACTACTCATTGGGTAGTAAATTTGATTAAAAAAATATACATTAATTTTATTGGTCAATACGTTTCAATTGCATTTGTTATTCGTATTATTATTATTATTATCATTATTATTTTTTTTTATACACAAACATTTTAACTTTAATATAAATTTATATATTGCTATCATATATTTAATGGAATTTTTCTTATACACCAATTTTTCTATATATCATAATTTAAATAAAATAATTTATCAAAGTAACAAAACAATTTTTTTTTTTTTTTAAAGTAATAGTAATAATAATAATAATAATAATGAATAAAATAATAAATTTAAATGAAATAAATATGATTTTGTAATGATAAAATACAATATTTGTTTTATATTCTTCCACCATTTACATAAACCTAGTTACTAAACTGCCACTAAAATTAAGAATACATAGTAAATTACATAAATCTAATTTTTTTATTTTTTTTGGATAAAATATATAACAATAAAATTCTTTGATACCATTAAACAAATATCTAGTAAATGTATATAAATATACATATATGCATACATTAAATATAATTATATATGTATATATAAATATATATAAATTCAATAGTATTTATTTTAATGATTTTAAAATAAAATATAATATAAAATGTGATTAAATTTTAGTAACACAGAGTTCACAGTTATAATATTCTATAAATAAAATTGTATTGAGAACCGATTTCACCAAAAACTTATTAATCATAATATATTGTAAACATTTAGAAGTAACCAAACAATGTAACAATATATGAAGTTCGCCATTTAAATCGCGGTTTGGATAAAAACAGTTAAATTTCTCATAACTTTGGTAGTGACCTATGATAGTAATAGGGTTGTAAGTATAATAATTTTTGTATTAAACTAATTTATTTTCAATAAATAATTGGGATAATATTTAATTGAAATGCATAATTTTAAGTTTATTATAGGTAATAACTAGTTAGATTAAAATCTATTTAACTTGCTATGGTAAAATATTTTATTTATTTTAGAATTGATAGTAAAAACTTGATTGAGTAAAAAAAAAAATCTTAAATATAAACAATTTTACCACTAATAATAAAAAAGTTGAATGAATGAAAAAAAGTATTAACTATTATTGAACATGACCAACAGTATTGACATTTTGATGGTTCAATACACTCACATTATGCATACAGAAGCATAATGAAAATAAACAAAACATTATATATATATTATTAGATAATATATTGATACATATATTAAATGCAAATTGATAAATATAATTCTGAGGCTTAATAATTTTACAAAGCTATATAGTTTATTAGATGATTAAATGTCAATAATCCATATGAAAACTGACTCAATTTACTGTATCACTTACAACAGCTGCTAAGGCTCTTATTAGCTCCTTCTGATTCAACTAGACGTCGGCCTTGCCCTGCTGTACTAGTTGTTTCGTTCTTAGGAAGTTTTTCAGCTAAATTAATTCAATTTTAAAAATAAAATATGATTTAGATACATTTTTGTTTTTAATTACGAACCAATTGCTTTAAAAATTTCGGTCACATTAGCACTTGTCTTTGCTGATGTTTCCATAAACAGCAGTCCATTTTCATAAGCATACGTTTGTGATTCATCAGTCTGAACACTTCTCATAGTATTTAAATCTAACTTATTTCCAGCTAAGGCTATTACAATACCAGGGGTTGCTTGTCTTTGGAGTTCCTTCACCCAATTTTTAGCTCTTTCAAAGGTATCCTTTTTAAAGAAGAATCTTATTCATTAATATCTTAAAATATCTACAGGTTTAAAAGAAACAAATATATTATTACTTGATTAGTAATATCATAGACTACAATAGCTGCTTGAGCCCCTCTATAATACATTGGTGCTAAACTATGGTAACGTTCTTGACCAGCTGTATCCCAAATTTCAAATTTAACAGCTACATCATTTAAATGAATCGTTTGAGTAAGGAAAGCAGCTAAAGAAATATATCATAGTATGAAAATCATCAAATTATTGTTATTATTATCATAACAAAGAGAATTAAAATAAAAAAGATTAAAAATACATACCACCAATGGTACTCTCTTGGTATTCGTGAAACTGGCCTTTCACAAATCTAAGCACTAAACTAGATTTTCCAACTGATGATTCACCTAAAAGAACTAACTTAAACTGACATATTTTCCCTGGTGTTTGACCGTTAGGCCTCTGAGGTACAGCTCTGTTGGCCATAATATATTAAATACTGCAAAAAAAATAAATATATATTTAAAATTCATTGTATATTATAATAATAATAATGTCAAATAATATTCAAAACAAATAGATATCTTCAAAAACATTTAAATACATAATTATAAAAATATTAGTCCAAATACAAATTAATAAGGAATTAGTTTAATAAATACATAAAAATGAGTGTTATTAAAATATTGAATCATTTACTGTATATAATTAACACTGAGAAACAGAGCAAATTTTTTTTTTCCAAACTAGGCATAAATAACTTTTATAATAATAATATATTATAGAATGTTTTGATTTTCTTAATAACTTAAATAAGCATGGTAAAATTATAAAAAAATTATGAAACATTAAGAATTGATAGTTTCAACTTAGCCTCATAAAATGATTATATGAAATCATGAAAGGTTATCTAATTATTTACTGCACTACTATAATAATGCCACAATTCAGTAAAATTAGTTATAAAATTATACAACAAAACAAACCACTTGGAATTCTGTAGTTTTTATTAAAATTAAAGTACAAAATATTATATAATACTATGCAAAAATATACATTTATTATAACTTGATATTTTAAATGTGTATAATAATTGATAGAAAATTATAAATAAAATGATATAAAATATTAAAATATATAAAATTTATTGATATACCTCTATGTGGATTTACTTTATTATTTTTTTTTTAATAAAAGGTCATAAATCAAAATTATCAACTACATTTTGATTAAATAAAAAATGAAATAAAGGTATATAATTATATACCAAGCAATTTATTTATAGATAACTAAAGCAATTAAAAAAAACAATTTTGAGATATATTTTATTTATTTATCTAAACTCTGAATATATATATTTTTTTTATTTTTTCTGTAATTTAGTTATATATTTATTTTTATTTTTGTTTTCCCTGCAAATTAAGTGTTATTTTAATTTCAAATATATGGGTTATTAGTTTATTTTTAAAACTAATAGTACAACTCTTTGGTTTAGTTATTCATTTTAAAAATTGACGTTCAAGGTCATAATAAATACATTAAATAATTGAGCCTAAAGTAATGGTAGACAATTTTTTAAGTATATTTTTTCTAAGCCATTTATATAATTTTCATCAGTACTAATCAATTATCTATTTTTCACTTGCAGTTAAATAGAATTTTCAATTGATTCATTCAATATGTTCAAAGTAGAATAATTAATAATGACAGATTGTATATAATAAACCCAAAAATGTAATACCAACAAGTGATATGAAGATAATCAAAAAAGACATTTTCATTGAATCTTAAATTTTGTTGTTTTTACTTCATAAATATTAAAGAAAATAGAGGTAATAAGTATAATATACAAAACTATTATGTATGTTACTAATAATTTATAGTTAGACATAACAAGTGAACCTCTTTCAATATGGATATATATTATATATTATTAAATATTAAAAATATATACTTAGAGGCAAGAAAATTTTATAAAATAAACATTACATAAACCATAAACGCTATTTATATTGAGATGAATAATACTAATTTTAGTTAACTAATCTAATTGATTAATAATATGTATAAATGTAACTAACATTAATTTATATTTTCTGTAATGAACAAATGCATAATATTATAACATTCATTTCAACAATTAATTGCACTTCAAACGATCAATTTTGAAGAACAACGTGAGTTTTATATATTATATTTGGTATAATATGTATATTTAAACTATAAAAATACATTTAGATAATGAACTAGACTTATAATTTGATGCATTTTGGTTTATTTAAGAGACATAAAAGTTAGTATACTTATATTTGAAATAAATTTCATAAATTAAAATGTATAGATTAAAAATTTATTTTAAATTTTTTGAGACTTAAGGTTCTGAGCAGATCAAAAATTTTAATGGTTTTAATAAATTATAATTTGACAATACACAAATTTTATACTGTAATTTATAAATAAATAACTAAACATAGTCAGAAAATATCATCAATTATATATATTATCTTGGCATGATCTAATTTTCAAAAAATCTGGCTTTGTTTAAGCTATTTATAAATATTTTTAATTTTTACTTTATTTAATTATTTTTCAATTTATATAAAAAATATTATTTCTAGATTTTAAAATGTAATACAAGGTTCATCTAATGATTTTATTAAAGCAATTTAAAAATCAACATTCAATAATGCTTTTTATTAACATTTCAAGTTCAAATATTAATAAAAACTCGAATAAAAATGTATCAAAATTACACATATGTAAATTATTTTATGAATAAAATTATATGAACATTTTAATTTCAAAATCTAAGGCTAAAAAATGTTAAAATAAGATATCCCATAAGTTCTACTTACCTATTTAAAAATATCAAAAAATATGTTGGTCAACTTATAAACTAATTAATAACAGCTGGTAAAATTATATGAAATAATGTATAGTTATTAGTTTTTTACAATTTTACAGTTAGAAAAATTGATTGGTTTTATGTAGGTATATAGTTTGAAATTTTAAAAATGTATTGCATATTTTAGAACTCACTTTGTGAAAACATCATGCACCTAATAGTTAAAAATGATAATAAACACATAAAGCCCCAATGAACTTTTTTGAAATTCCCATATAATACATATAAATTTAACAATTATACTGGAAAAATTGTTTAACACAATAATGAAGATAAGTGTTTTTTTTAACATTTCTTAAAGAAAATATACCTTTACAATTTTTAAATTTATTCTAATATCAAGACTCAAGAACTCGCTCAAGAATGTCTTACATTTCAGAAAAACCCAAGATATTTCAAATAAAATGTCATTTTAATGATTAAAATAAAATTAGTTTCTATCAGAAACCAAAAAGTTTAAAGGATAAATATTTTTATTACTCTTAGTTATAAAATAATAAAAGATAAAGGTAATATTTTTAAAGAAGTTATAAATAAACTAAAATCATAATATATCTAGGCCACATCTAAGAAATAAATTATTTATTTCATAAACTTCAATTTTGATTTAAATAAAATAAATTATTTATAATATAATAATATGTACAACATTGCCAAAAATAATATACAAGATAAATACAAAAATATATTTTAGGTACTAAAACTATAATAACATTCTAATTAATATTTATTCAATATATCTGTCTATATTCGATTTTAAACCTGATTAAATTTATATTTATATTTAAGTAAGTAACTATGAGGTACTAAAAAATGATTATTTTAATGATTTTTTTTATCATAATTATAATAGTATTTTAACACAATTGGTTTAATCTAAGTAAATTTGAATATTAATGATAATTAATTAAAGCTGATTATCAATTTTCCAAGATAATTATTTTCAATAAACAATGAAATGTTATTGAGTATTTTTTATTCTATATTATTTTAAGTAATCAATTATATTAACTGAGAGATATTATTTTTTTTTTCATACAATTGATTCCCAACTAAATATATAAATAATTAAGTATTGAATGTAATTAAATAAATATTATCTACTATATTTAGTCTCTAAAATATCTTAGATACAACAAAATATAAGTAAAGCAAAACAATTTAACTTCAAATTAATTTAATTAATAATCAAAAATAATTATAACTAGGTATGAACTCTGACTTCAATATAAAATCTTATGATCTTATGAAAAAGATGAAAAATAATTAGTTTATGTTATTTCACAAAACATTAATATATTGTTAAAACCAAAGCCAAAATGTTCTTTTCTTAATTTATATTAAATAATATCCGTGTAAATGTCAAAATTAAATTCAAATCTTTAAGTCAACAGTTTTGATAACAATACATATTTTAACTTGATAAATACATATTTTTAGAGTTATACCTACCTATCAAAATTTATAACTCAAACATAAGTACAACAAAAATTTCAAAAACTATATCTAAATACTTTAGTACATCTGAAATATCATTAGGTATTATTTTTACCAATACTTATGAGCACCAAGCAGCACATATTTTTATGACCCAGTTTCTTCCACTAAATTTTGAAAAAAATTAAAAATGTTTCTGTGGTCCCCCCTCCCCACAACCAAATCTTGTTTATACTTCTGGACAATAACCATCTAAAATAATTTTAAGGTATTTAGTTTTGTTTTAATTTTGCTTTTGATACGTAAATTACATATTATACAATATTAATCATAACCAACCACTTAATTGCTTAAATACTTTGTTATGTATTAATATTAGGAATCTAGATTGTCTAAATAGGACAAATGTTTAAAATATATTTTTATTATGTAAATGATTAATTAAATTAAATAAACTTGCTTGTTTGACTATCAGATACTGCAATAAAGTTACTTTATTAACCAACTAATTGAAACACCACGGTGTAGATGGTTGAACCGACCTTGTTTAATGTTAATGACACTATTGTAAAAATTATAATTTTAATTATTATACAAATATATCCCCAGGGAGATGTGTCGTGAGAGTAGAAAAATATTGTATTAAAATATCGCAATTTTAAGTTTTAGCTGATAAGATAATTACACAAAAAAAACTACTTGTGTTTATACTAAAAATAATTAATTTTATACTGAAAAAATCCAAATAAAGGCGTAATACACTCTACAAAATCACAATGTTAACATATGCCGAAATGCGCTTTGCCCCCCATACTACATGATAAAATTCGCAAATAAGATTGTGATCGTCATATGGGTAGGCCGTTTAACCAAACCATTTGGAAGATTGTGGTAAGAAGTGGGTCAGTAGGTAGCATAATGGTAACGCATATAAGTATTGAAGGTAATATTTAAGTAGACAATGTTTTACTTACGTGATTTTGGATTTTTCTACAAGCTGTTTCTTCGCCGGGGTCCGTTGAAAATGTAATACTGTATAAATATTATATAATAATTATGTAAGTTACGGAATTAATATAGGAACAATGAAGTTGTTAAAAAAAATAAACTAAAAAAATATATTTATTTAAATAAACGAAAATTTGAATGAAGTAATTATTAAAAAAAAAATGAATTATTTATATTTGTGTATATATATATATAATACGTCGTTTATTAAACTCTCGCTGACTACTTAGTATTTCCTTTCTAATCACAGTCCGAATATTATATTATATTTATCGCGTGTGTATGTGTGTGTGTGTGTGTGTGTGTGTGTGTGTGTGTGTACGTGTGTGTAGTGTGTACGTGTATGTGTGTATGTGATACGCAAAAAGCGGAACACTAGTATACAGTGTTTAACTTTGGGAAATTCTTCGAATGTTTTACGTCGTCGATTGATTATCACATAATTAACGGCGGCGGTGACGCACCACAACTGATTCGGACGGGAGACGGAGTGAATGTCGTAAACGCCTAAACGGTAAACCGTAACAACAATGATAAAATAATATCACTGTATAGTTGGTAGTTTTGCGCCGACTGTAGTGTTGTCTCCCCACCGGACGGTTCCGTAGTATTGTGCTATTGTGCCTACCGCGGTGCAGCGTATTATGATATGATTATTTTTTTTCCTCGTCGCCCGTCGGTAAATGATAAAGAAGAAGAATAAAACTTTCAAAAGTTGCGTGTCATCGACGTCGATGATACGGCGCGGTGTCGCGTATTAACTACGATACTCTGGTCGGACGGCACGCTGTGGCGGCGGATGATGAGCAGGAGAAAGGGACAACCTTGACGGTAGCCGTAGCGCTTTGGAAGTGTGGACAACGAAATAAAAATATGTTATGTTAAATTGTTAAACATAAACGTCGTCGTCGCCGTGTGTCATATGTATTATCGGATAATATAATATAATAATGGTTTCAATAAAAAACGAAACATCGCCGTATTCGATAACACGCCGTAATGGGCTACCAAACCGCACTACGAAATACGGTGTAGAACGTTTGGTCGCACACGATCACGGCGGCGGAACGGGGCGTTTTCGCTTGGCGGCGTGCTAGTAGCTGGCTACCTAACCAGCGTACGTGGAGGTCGTCTCGCGCAGTCGCGAGTTCGCGATGTCATCGGCGCGTCGGCGTCGCGCGTTTATGATAAGGCACCGACGCCGCTGTGATTGATAATAAACAATAATAATAATGAAAACGGCGCCGAATGGCATTGTAATTTGTAGTATTGTACATGTTTTGTACTTACGCGTTTTGCACGTATGACACCGATATCATAATATTATAATGCACGAATGACGTTTCAATTTTGGTGGGAAAGAGTTAAGAGAGGGTCTTTACTGCCTAAGTTCATTGCGTTAGATTCTCTAGGTCAAAGTGTTAAAAAAAAAAAAATGATCTAAAAAATTTTAATCTCTCGAATTAGTGTCACCGTCGTGCTAAATTTATAATTTTTCTTTTAGCAAATAATTGAATAACACCTACATTATGTTATAACTTGTTTGTATTATTATAATCATTATTAATTAATCATACTTTTATACTGCACAATTATATAATATTTACCCTTGAAATTAAACACAGTATCATCATATTCATAAAAAATATACTAGATTATATTTATACAAGTATTAGGTAACCAGTTAGGATTAACAATTGTTATAAATAATAATTATTATATTCTTTCGGTTTCTGAAAATGTTTTTGATATTGCTTCTAAATCTTTTTTTTTTTTTCAATAGTTAGAGCCTTAGTCCGTAATTTTATATTAATTATTAATACAATAATATTTAATATTATAATTATTAACAAACTATAGTCTATATGGCCTATGTATGGGAGGCATGAGTGCGTAAGACACCAAATGACAAAACTTCAAGATGTTAAATACGTATAGTATATGGTAGTATTTTAAAATATTATAATTATAACAAAAATATCGGACATTGGTCGTTAGAACTCAGTAGACATTAATCAAAGTGAGTAATGACTTACATAGATACCTACTAACTGCCCTACTGCAACGCAATGCAAAATTAAATAACCATTAGATAGATAGTAGTAATAATTTACTATCACTATAAATAGTATATCTATTATCCAGTGGTGGATCCAGGGGGGTTTCTCTCCCACAATGATCACAGGAGAATATAGTAGTACAACTATATCAATTATGTTCATAAGTACATAACAATGTATGATAAAAAATTTAAATAGCCCCCTCTCTTTATACTGGTCCAACTCTAATAAAAAAAATACATACTATTTCATTTTGTATTAATGTTCTAGGTCATAAAATATCAATTACATAACTTTTTAAAATTATTTTTTATAATTTCAATAATTGATAAGTAATTTTATTTTACAACTTTAAATGTACCTATTTATTACGTACCAATATTTTTTTTAAATATTAAAAACTATACTGACGAATGCCAGATGTAGATATTCTGGCAGTGGTGTATTGTTCTAGTATCTGGAACTTTGAGAATAACACACGATCGCATTTATATAGCTGGTAAAAATATATTGTGTAATTCCCCCTTGCTCGTATTTATCCAAGGTCAAAGCATTTTCAACAAAGAAAAAATTAGTAAAATCTAATTTTTAATAAAAATAAACGGGATCGAGGAGCGTAGTAATGATAATTACAATATTTAAATGCAAGAGTTTCCTCTTAGTTCTACAACTCTTAGAAAATATATAATATAGATACCTACAGACATATAATAATTATCTAGCTAAATAATGTAATAATGACTAATATCTACTATATACATTTTGTCATGATATATCAATATCATATGTAATGCAGTAACGCTAGTATTTAAAAAGTTTAGCTATTATCAATGAATAATGAAAATAGTGATAATGCCCGGATTTATATGCATCAAAAACCAACCAAATGTGCGCTTAAAAATCTTAAATATGCATAAATATATGCACTAAAGTGTTAAAATATGCACGAAAAATAAAAAAATTATTTTTTGAAAAATAGTGAAATAATGTCAGTGTTCGATCATGGCCGTAATCGATATTTTCTTATCTTGATAATATTAATCTAATTATTTTATTTCTCAGATTACCTATTAATATGTTTTGATATTAATCTAAATCATTGTATTAATATATTTTTTCTTGTATTATAATAGACTGTAATAGTATATATTTAAAAAATGTCTAAAAAAAACATCAAAATATGCATTAAAAGATGAAGTATGCAATTCAAATTGTAAAGTAAGCTCTTAAAATAAAAAAATCGAAATATGCAAAAATATGCACTAAAAAATTTTCATTTTTTAAATCGTTATGTCATGAAACAAATTTTGTGCTCACTTAGCATATCATACGATCAATCAGAATAAATATGCAAATGCATACAAATCCGCGCTTTAATTATGATATTTAATATTAAATATACTATCATCAAACAAAGCGTTGTGATGAAATTATTTTCTAAAAGGGCGATTCACATTCTTGTAATTAAAGATTATTAATTTAATGTAAATATTGTAACCGTGAGAAAACAATTTGTCGTAGAGCATTATTTGATGATAATATATTTAACATTGAATATAATAATTATTTAACTTTTTAAATACTAGCGTAATTTTATTATATATAATATTAATACATCATGATATATTGGTATTATGACAATATTGCTGTTAGTTAAGTAAGTGAAAAAATAAAAATTGGGATAAATTTTAAAATCTATACAATTGTTATGTTTATTAACTATTAAGTAATATATTATTAATTAGTTATATATTATAGGAGTTTTATTGTATTAATTATTTTAAATTTTAAAACATATTTTTATTATTTTTTTTTTTATAGTTTTATTTATTCAATCTGTTACAAAGATAAGAACAATAAGAATAATTAATGATATTGCTAAAAAAAAAAAAATAATAAATAAATAAAACAGAATCGACGGCTAGCTAGAAGGAAAAACATATTATATTAAAATAGATAATTTTCGATTCATTATTTATATAATTACTAAAATACTTAGGCTAGTAAGCTACGAATAAACGAGTATAAAAGACTCATCTATGTCTGAGTACATTTTTGTGTTTTTAAAGAAAATATTTTTATATACATAATTTAAATAATATTTATAAAACTACATTTGTACAAAAATGTAATTTATTGCTTTTATTATTATAAGTATTTTATTTTTTTTTAAATTGAACGATTCCATCATTGTTTAAGTGGTTACTAATTATAAATTACTAGTCAACTTGTTGTACTCAAATAATATTAGATACATACCTATTTTATTTGACAAATAGCTAGGAAATTCTGAATACGAATCACACGATTACACATAGTACATAATATGACAATGTAATACTGTAATAGCAACTTTGATAACAATCTATTTTTTAAATGTGGATGTCTTAAAATTGGAAATTGATTCAAATCATTGTTTTTTTGATTATTTTAAATGAACCTAGAGCAGATTTAAAACCAATATATAATTTATAAAGAGATTAGAACATGGAAGTAGTAGAAAACAACATTAGTAAGTAACCCACCTATTTGAATTTTAGAAACTTATTCAAATTTATTTATATATACTCGTACATAAAAAAACACTATAACTATAATACCAATGAAACATTATTGATACACGTATTATTTTATTATATTACCTACTATTAATTTATTTATGGAAATGACCTATATAATAATAAGTATATTTTTAATATCCAAGTTTTTATTGCGATAACATTTTATAAATTATAATCTAAAAGATGACCTGATTGTTATTATTATTGTAATTAAAGAAATAAGTAACATCTATTTATATATTTATTTTAAAATATTGCGCAATTCTTATCAGAAATAAAAACAAATAGATTTTAAGAAGGAACGATGAAAAACATTTATAATATTGTACATATAGACAATAGTCAATAAGTATTATTTATATTATGTACTAAATAATAAATATTAATAATATAAATCACTAAATTATAAAATGATAATACAACTAATATCAAATATATCATTACACCTAGTATAATACAGTATTAAAGATTAAAGGATACAACTGAGGGTTTGAGATCATATTATTCTATACAATTATAATTTATTTTTATTATAACGTTATTAGTTTAATTACTTATTTTTTATTACTATAAGGCTTGAAAATTATTGCATAAGCATTTTTTTGTTAGCTATTAGATTAATTGCTAAGTATAAGCTAGAAATTATTTTCAAGACATCATAAAAAAAAGTAAACATTTTAAATACAACGGATCATAAAAAATTTATTTGATTTTCCTGTAGATATTTTTTTTTTTTAAATCTCAAATATCAGCAGAAATTTTTTCATGAATTTCAAATTGCAAAACAATTTGTAATTTCCGAGACTTTAATGAATTTTGTTGAAATTTAAAATTTTAATGTTTATGTAAACATATTGAATAAATTGTTGATATTTTTTAATGGATAATTAATCATTTGTTAGAAATCTTGCACTAAATTTTCAAGCATTTATATCCATTCATAAATTTTTATAAATATTTAAAAAAATCAAAAATTGTAACCGTTTATATAAGTACCTATCTCAAAAAAGTTATATAATATTTATATATAAATGTATTATACTACTATCCAAAACCATTCTCAAAAACAAAAATTGAAACATTTTAATGATTACTTAACACGTACATTATATACGCACACACATAAAAAAATACACATCATTGTAAAATCAATAAATTTATCGCTCCGCTCAAAATCTAAAATTATTAGGTACCTACATATTTTATTATCTTCATTGTTGTATTATAGCTACTGTAAAACTGTAAATATTTTAATAGTTTAAAAACTAGATAAAATCTAGGTATTCGTTCAAATTTTAATTCAAAGTGTTCAACATGTTACAATACATCAATGCCGTCAGTACCTATATTAAGACAATCGAGTAACTAGCGACAATAATTAAGTAGTGAATGTTGTTACTTGTTAATATTGTACCTTATTAAGTAATACTTAATATTTGTACTTGAAATTTTAAGGTTTTGATAATCTCTGTAAATATAGCAAGTGCCTTTAATTACTCGATAAAATCGTTTAGCAATATGTTTTTATTTTATAAATAAATAATGTTTTCAAAAATGTTTCGATTACCTATCATAAGTTGTGATTCATAACTAATAGTCAATAGGTAACAGCTCATGGCTATTATTTTTAGTTGTACAAATTTACTTATTTACTTATCGTCGTTACTATAAGGAGTTTTATTTTATTATTAAAAAAAGCACTCAAGTAGGTAACCGCTACGCTTTGCATTAGGTGTTGTATCTCATGTAACTCACCAATCATAAGTGCTAAATAATGAATAGGTCACTATAATGGATGTATTAACCTTAATTCATGATAAATTATTGTATATGAAAAAAGATTTTAAGTGGAGACGCCAGACGGTCTGTTAGCTTATATTACTAAGATTATTTTATTGTATATTTTAATATTTATATTGCAGCCACTAGAATTTATAGACAATTTAATCATTTATTTTACTATAAGTAAATACTAAATAGTTATACATTTATACATTAAGTTGAATTTCATTTTTGACAAAAATATCACATCTATTTATTTAGAGATGTAAATTTCAGAAATTTTTGAAATATATCTAATTTAAATTTAGAATTTTATTTCATTAGTTTAACTATATTTTAAATTTTAAATATAATGTTTATAAATTTAATTTAAACACTCCATACGACCATATACACATATTTTAATTTTTAAATAAACTAATCTTTAATTAATCATACAAATTTACGAAATATATTAAACAAAAACAATCATTAGGTATAAGATTATTATAAAATTTTTTAATGAAAATTTCCTACTAACAAATATATTAATAGTATTATTTAAAATTACATAATAATAAATTTTATCATTACATTTTATATATGTAGGTACATAATAATATTTTCAAACTATTTAGAATAATTTTATGCTATTAAATATTACATATATTACGAATCTATTTAGTTTTACGGTAGGTTAGATTGGTATTTAATCAAAAAACTAATAACAATAAATTATCATATATTAGAAAAAAATATGCAAACATTTAAAAAAGAAAATAATTCGATGTCAAGTTTTTTTGAAAAATTAAAATCACTTTTCAAAATTGTTATTGGACTGACCACTGACGAATTAAAGGTATAGAATAATAAATAAAAAAAAAGTTTCGACCATCATCTGATCATCTGATAGTCATTTGAGTTTAAGACGGTGAACTCATACTGAATTTAAACTTAAGTATGAACTTGATTTTAGGTGTTAAGTAGGTATGTACGTATTTATTCTAGTAATAAAAAATATATAAATCATAGAACATATAAAGAGGTATTAATACTAGTAATACTAATATAACTAATATACTTTCATACTAACAACTACTATAATATTGTTTAAGTTTAACTCAATATTTTAAATTATTAATTGCAATTTGCAATGTTATATTGAAAAGTTAAAATTTCAAAGTGACTATTTTTAAAAACAGAGGGGAAAATAAGTAACCACTTATATATCTGAATTTTGAACTCATTGTACCTACAGTATTTACCTATAGGTGTCGAGTATACCTCATCATTGATCAAGTCACTGTAATACCTATTGTGTTAAATTTATTTTAACATATCTATATAAATATTATGTTTACAAATAATTTTATTATTACTAATATTATATAATTATCTATTTTTCGTTAAAATACGTATTTAATTTTATTCAAAATTGTACTTTAAATGTTTATAAAAAATGTGATTATATTTTTTGATTTTGATGCGAAATAATTATATGAAACCTTTTTTAAGCAACCTTAGCAACCTTGTAAGTTATTGGCAAATTTTCATGATTTTGACAAATTTTATCATCATTGAGACATTGAGTAGGTACCTATGGAAAACCATAATTTAAGTATAACTATGAAATGTTTCAAGTCTATACGGTTAATATTTTAGGAGTTACAACAAATAACTAAACTCTTTTGGTGATAAATTTCTAATTTATATGCGAATATATAATTTTGTTAAAATTTAGATTTCAGACTCTTACAAAAAATTATTATGACTTGAGACTAAATATTATTATTGAACTCATATAAAAATCTTAATAGAAAACTTGTATTAAATTTTCAAACTAATCAAACCTAATATTAAATAAAAATATTTATACATTTAAGATTCTTTTGAATAGACACATTGTATTAATTTTAAAATGATGGCTGATATATTTTTGGGGTTGTCGTGACTTCGGAGCAATAAAAATACTTAAAATTTCATTTTGAGGATAGTTTTGGTAGAAAATTGTATCTAGTTAGTACTTTTAGCTCCCCCCACCATTCCTGGTCAAAAGTAAAAAGTTCCAAGTACCTATCTTTTTAAAATAACCCGTAACACCCGACAAAAAATTATAGAAAATCGGTCATTTTTACTCAATACCAATTTTAGATTTAGTCGATTTGGACTTTTGTTGTTGTAACTCAAAAATGAATGATAGTAGTGATTTAAAAAGTTCACCGAATATTCAAACTAGATATTTTACTTAACATACACAATTATTTACAAAATATTATTGATCTTCTTGTGTTAGGTATTTATTATTTAGTTAGGTTACTAATATTATCAAAGCTTATCTACAATGTTATTACCTAATTTACTCTAATTATTTAGACACTATCATCATATTTTCAAAACTATATGAGCTTGTTAGTTTATACACATATTATATAGGTACAAAAACCACTTTACAAGTGTTCTTATTTAGTTTCGTTTAATTGTCCCACTGTTAGCCATTGCAGGAAAAGATAGTTAACACAAGTTACAAGTTACAACGTAGGTTATTAACATTTATCTCCATCATGGAAAATACTTATATTATACCAATAATTATTAGTTATTGCTTATATTAGATCGTGATATTGCCAAAAAAATACATGACTATAGAGTAAAATATTACTTTAGAGTTTAGATCCAAGTTCAATGCTTACATTCAATATTTTCAAATAATAATTATGTACTTCTATATAAGTCTACACTGCAGTACTGAACGTTTGTTATTCTTTTGTTTCCGATCCACGATTGACCAGCTCATCGTCGTGGTTAATGGGTGGTCAGCGTAGGCGACGGAATCCGACTAGTGATTATTGGCAATCGCCACAATCGACACTATTGGGATTTCCGTCATTTTATTTGCGAGGATCGATTTCTGAATATTCTCTGTTGCTATGTGCTTATGCAGCATGTGGCTGTTACCTATGTAATATTATGTTAGTTGTGATTTGTGGTTCTGTGTAGTCGTTTATGCGATTTTTTGTCGATGTTTACAAGTTTGTTTCCTAAAATTGTGCGTTGTTTCTATAGATCATGGATTTTTATAATAAACACTTTCACCGGCTGATCCGCAGTGTGGATCCAAACGGCATGTTGAACGTGCCATTTAATGTGTTTACTGATGAAAAATGTCTCCAAAGATACTTTAAGACGAATAACGATTTTCGGAAATTAGATGTGCCTTGGATGTGGTAAAAAATACGAATATACTATCATTATAACTGTTTATTAGTTCAAACTTTAAAATTACTCTTACTGTTTCCTTAATACTGAATAATAGTATTTGTATTTAGGTACTATATAACACAAATGCATTTTTCAATAATAAAATTGTTGTAGGTATCCTTTAATATTAAACTCAGTTATAATAAATTGGTATAATAAATATTCTATACCTACCTATACGATTTCAATCTATTTTTTAAATGCTAATTATTAGATCCGCTAGCTAATACGTAAATATTATTTAAATTTCGGTTTATCAGTGCAATAAAATAAAAAATAAAAAGATGAAGAATTCCTTGGTTAAATTAATTTTACATGAAATTAAAACATTTTACAAAAGAAATTAAAAAAATTGTAGTCTATGTGGGGAAGAGAGCCCTTGCTCCCCCTCGTTTGATCTGCTCCTGTATTATATTTTATGTTATATTATAATGTGTACAATTTGACAATATGTAGTGTGTAATTGTATTTGTAAAAAAATGATGTATTCTATAAATGCCTAGCATTTTTGCAATTGAGTAATCATTTAAACAATTACTATGTTGACCGAGTATTATAATTGAATGTATTATAGGAAATGCATACATACATAAGTAATACTTATATATCAACATTAAAAATTTGTATTTTTTAGCAATAAAATAAAATGTTTGTACTTACATAAATGAAGTTTATGATTTATGAGTTGCTTGAAAATTTAAGATATCTAAAAAACTAGTAGCATAAGTCATAAATCTAACCTGACTTTATAATAAATAGGTACCTAACTATGTTTACCTATAAAAAAAAAAGTATCCAGTAATTAATTATACTTATTAGAAAAAATTATGAATAAACTTAATTTAGATAAATAATATTTATAATTTCAAAATTTCATTACAGTTCCTATTAGTTGGTGTATTTCTTTTCCTGGCCCTTAAAATTAGTTTTCCAACTATGCCGATTTATTCCTATTTTTTTTTTGATGTACACATTATATTATTAATGTATTTTGTTAAGTCCGTTATTAAGTGTAAATAATTTCAATTTTTTCTTTAGGATTATTATTAAATATGGTCTACATTTTTATTTGTTTGTAATAATAAGAATTCATAGAATATCAAATTGTCGCCAGTTCACTGGTAATAAAAAACACAATTTATAAAATGTCCCATTTAAATAAACAAATATAAATATAATATATCTCTTGATAAATGTTGATTTTTTTCAATAATATATTTATATAAATACATTTTCTGTTTCAGTGATCAATTAATTATACTTTTACTCAACTTTGAGGATGTAGTTGCTATTTCTTCAACCTTAACATTTTTACGAAATGACTTTCAACGCATTAAATATCCATTTGTTTTGATAAGTCAAGCTTATATTGGCTTAATTTTAATACATACTAATGCAACAAAAGCATATTTCAGTAAGTTTATTTTTATAATTATAAAGAGTGATTTTTTTGAAGTAAGATATGATTATTTATAATTTACCTATTGGCCTTATAAACATTACATCCTCAAATCACCTAGTCTTAAGTGTATTTTTATTATATTCAATTATGTAGACTCAAAAAAAGTTATAAACATATTTAACAGTTTATATTAACTTATGAATTGGTTCTATTGATGATTGTTTTAATATCTAAACTATCTTAGATTGCTTTGTTAATTAGTTTAAAAATATTTTATTATCCCTAATTTACATATAATTAAATCCAAACTTTTTATTTTCGTTTAAAGTCGTTTGTCAATAATCCATTCCTATAATTTCTTGAGTTCTGGTATTCGATACACTAATAATTTCTATTGATCTTGGTTTCAAACTAGTTAGTTCACATGACTCATAGCCGTATATTGAAATGGTATATTGTATGGCCTTGACAATTTTTAGACTTATCAATAGAATTACTTGAGAATTTAAAGTACTGTTTTGTACTCAAATCCCATCAATATTAAAAATGGTATAGTTGTATGAAGTAGTTGACTAGTTCTAGTGAGTTTAGCTTTGGTTCCTTTGATCAATTGGTTCAATGTTAGGCGTTGAACATCTTTAAAATTATTCTCTTGTTGCTGCTAAATTAGATCTAGTCTCTAATTAAATGTAGGCATATGCATTGGCAAAATTTTTTAAAAGAATTGTATGGTCCAGTCAATTTATCTGATTTATTATCCTTACTAAAATTTTCTCTCTTTTTATTAAAATCTTTTTTTTTTTTTTTTTGAATTATTTGTCTGAACAGTTATTTGAAAAATGAGCCTATTATAAGTAATTAATGTTAATAGCTAATAAGAACCCCTCTTTTGATTTATACATATAATATGATATAAATATTTAACTTTTCTAAAATAAAAAAAAAATGTTTAGGTTATTGTACCAACTCAACAAAGACTTTTTACAAGAAAAAAATAGCTGTGTAAGTATACATACATATTTATTTTATTATAAGAATTATTTATATTACTAGTCAAAGTATTTAATCTAGTGTTTATAACATTTATATATTTTTAGAATATTTGCTTCTATTTGCCTAATATGCTGTATTAAAAATTAAAATGTATGCAATGTCTAGTAATTTTAAAGAATATTCATTACAATTATAATGTATATAATACATTAAATACAATACATATTTATTTTTTTTTATTTAATTTATGATGTAATAAATTATTTTTATTGAAAATGTAAACTGTTATTTACCATCCAGCATTATGGACATAAGTAACAGTATAAGACAATATAATTAATTTATACAATTACAATCTTTCAATCTTAATAAATAATACTTTACCAAAATATTTTTAAGTGCAATAAAGTATTTTTGGAATCTGCATAAAGTTTGTTTAATACTCATATAAAACTTAAAGTATTAAATAGAACTTAGTCTATTGATTAAATGTCTTATTAAATTACTATAAATTATCTATATATGATAGATATATAATATGAGTACTATTAGAAATATTTGATTTATTATTGATATCTTATTATAGTGCTGTAAGATAATTATTTGCTCTATGACCTACTATAATCATTTGAGTATTCTATAAAATATCCAGGCATTTCTCAAAATGCCCATCTACTTTAAGTTATTTAATGTAATAAAGATAATGATACAATTATCAGCCATACTTTAAAATTATTAGAAATTTTATAAAGGTCTAATTTTATGTTTTGTCTTTTACTTAAGTACTTATGTTTATATAAATTGATTTTAACTTAGAGACAAAATACCAAGAAAGAAACAAAAAAGGAAATCAGGTGCTACTAAAGAATCAGACAACATAGAACAAATTCAAAGTAAATTTTTTTTAATTATTATTTTTTTAAATAAATAGTAAAAATTTAGTCATAAAAAGACTAATATTATTTACTTAAGCTGAACTACATTGTTAATTGACTTGATTTATATATTTACATACTAATAATAAATATTTATTTTTATTTAATTCAAGTAACTACCTACATTTAATTTATTTTAGGCCAGAAAATTCAATCATTAAATCAACATCGAGTATCTAATTTAGAAACAATCCACAATGAGATAGATATTCTTTTAGTAAGTCACTTGTTATTATATATTTAGGATTTTAGTTATGTTACCCATTTTATATTTTAATGATAAAACTATTGGTTTTATTATAAACATTGGTAATTGAATTTTAAATGTAAAGCAATAAGGACAAATGGTTAGATACTACAAGTTGTTCACACACCAATAATATCAATTTATAAATATTTATTATAGTTAAAAGCTTTACCATAACAATATTTAGGTTTAGGATGATAGTGTAATGATCAATTACTAAGTAGTATCAATTTAAAATTTTTTAAATTATTTAATATGTAATTTGTATAGAGAAAATTACTGGCTATTAGCATTTACATTAAGGTGTTTTATTTGCTTAAGTATTAGATTTTGAGACTATTAGCTTAATAGTTAATAGGTTATTTATATTTTATTTTCATAAACAATACATTGTAATATACTTATAGAATATAATTTAATATTTTAAAAAATATTTAAATTAATAATTATTTGACAAATTAAAACTATCTACATTATTATGTTTGTATGAAGTATATATAAAAAAAAAAAATTAGGACACTTCTATTAATTTTTGTTTGTGAAATGTTTATTGAACAAATAATAGATTATTATAATAAAACAATACATTGTCAGTTATTTTTGTTTATTAATTGCTAACTTAATTTTACATTTGGTTTCTTAAAATGTTAATTTGTGTAGAATCATCCAAGACACACTTTAAATGCTACAGAAATGAAACTGCTTGAGTCAAATGTTCCAAACCAAATAGTAAGTATATTTAAATAATTTACAAAGTATAATATTTAAGTTTATCAAAAAATAGTTATAGTTGAAATTACTGAAACAAAAAAAATATTTTAAACAATTCAAACAGGTATTTAATACATTTTGAAAATATTCTTACAAGATTTTTTTTGTGCTAATAATTATGAATAAACTAAAACATATTATTTAAAATTTAAAATAATGATAAATAGCTATTACTATCATATACTAATACAAGTTTCAGAGTAAGATTAATGCTCAATTTTTATTGTGATTGTGTATAATTTTTAATTACAAAATGCTTATTATTTTTATATAGGCTCTTAATGTGCCAATTCTACATAATCAAAATATGCTTAATTTGAATACTGAAGAAAATATTGGTGATATTTATAAAATTTCAGATTTAGACCAACAAGTTGTAAATTCAACAATTTGGTATTTTTAATTTATTACTATAAGTATATATATTTTTTAGATATTCATCCAACCAATTGAAGAGTTTTCATTAATCAATCAATATGCTCCCACTGAACATCCTCTTTTACCAAAAAATGATTTTATACAAGAATTAATGAGCTTTGATGTACAGCCTAAAAATATAGTACCACAACAAGAAATAGAACAATCACAACGTATGATAAATTTACAAGATCAACAAACTAAAGGAGAACTATCTCAACATTCAATTGATCTACAAGAACAACAATTAAAATATAAGGTACTACTATTTGATTAAGTGTAAAAGCTGTTTTAAAATTGTATTATAATAAATAATAGAATACAAATTAAATAAAAATAATGTTTTTAGGGAACTAATGAACATTTTACCCCTGAAAATTTGACAAATCAATCACTAAAAAGAAAAAGACCCAACGTTCTTTTAAAAAAAAAAGTAAGTTTATTTTTAGTAAATATAAATTAATTTGTATGATTATCACTTAATAGTTTTATTTACTGTAAATACTGGTATATATTTTTTTAATATTTTGAATTATTATACTATTTATTTTTTTCAGTTGATAAAGTATAATATGTACATTAATACTCTTGATTAAGTGTATTTAAACTACTGTAAATATAACTAAATATTAATTGTGTTATAGTATTCAACCATTGTTATACTATAGTAAAGATTAAGTGTTTATCACTAAAATTTTTAAGAACTTTCAATAATGTACAAATAACAAAATTAGCGACTATCTTTTCACAATTTTTAACAGAATAGTATAAATATTCTTTAGTTATAGGAAGTAATAAAATATATTATTAATATTTTTTGATTGTAAATTATTTTATATAGCTTAAGAAAAGACAGATTGAACAAAACAGCCGAGTACTTAGAAACAGGTTAAAAAAACTACAAGGAGAGATGTTTGATGTAATTCTTTTAACTATTAAATACAAGTAATTATTATAATTTAACAATTATTTATTTTATTTCATTAGAGACCACTTGAATGTATGATGTTGAAGTGTACTAATCAATCTATTGATCATTTACCTATAAGATATGCTATGTACCGTAATAGACTTATTATACCATTTGCTGCTCTTACATTAAACATGGAATTAGAAGAACACAAAGTATTGTATATTTTAATATATTTAAAAAATAAAATTCTAATTTCTGTTTTAAAATTTCATGATATATTTTAGATTTAACATGAATTATTTTTCAATCATTCTTGGTAGTTTGTAATTGCATTTTATTTATCATTTAAGAAAACTAAAATAAATGAAAAACAAGTTTAATTATGTTGTTCTTTATATTTATTACGGTTGTACAATTATAATTAATTAATCCTAAAATTATTTTTACCAGAATTTAGATGATATTTTTAATAATGAAATGACTATGGGTAGTTACAAAACCAATGAAGAAAAATTAAATGATTGTAATACTTCAAACATTTGGTATGTAATACATCTATTTTTCTAATTTTAATATTATTTATTTCTGAATAAAGAAAAATCAATATTATAAATTCATAACATTCAATTTTATTCATTAAAATTTATTTAGTTTTAAAAAATAAATCAGCTATAAGATTTGATCATTTTAATCTAATAATCAAAATAATAAACTCAATAACTATAGAATAACAGTAATATTTATGTATATAATTAAACGTTTTAAATAATTGTATGTTTTCAGTATTTATAACCATTGCAAAAACAATTCATTACCTCATTTAACGCTGCTTCCTTTAGTTGAAGAATGTAAGTAACCACTATTAATTTATATTTGGTATACGCTGTGCAGTTTATCATTAAAATATTTTTATTATAATATAAATAATTAACCAAAGTTATGATTTTCTTGTTTTGTTAACATTTAACAATAAGAATCTACTTTTATATGATACAATTTATATTAAGAACAACATTTTTATATCTATATTGTGCAGCAAGTGAACATAGAGATTCTATGCAACCTTGTGCGACACTGCCATTAAGCTGATTCCACTATGCAGAATATTACTTGAGAATGTATAGAAGAATTGATTTTGTCTGGACACTATATGTTCTCTTGCTGGAAAGAAAATAATACATTTTTAATTTATTTTTCTCAGAACTATTTAATTTAACAAAGAATAAATATAATTATTGTTTAATAGAATTATAAAATAATTAAATATGCTTTTTTTTTTTTTAACTATTTTAATATTATCAAACAAAATGTATTCTAGGTTTAACCAATAATAGTTTAGTGTGGCGAGATACAATTAATGAGGTAAACATTAATTTTTCTAATAACATAAAAAAATTAAAATATAGTTGAAAAAAATTTAGTTTAAATAATTGCACAAAAACATTAAAAGTTTATTATTTCTATTTTAGATAAATAATAATTTAGAAGATAGTTTAAGAGAAATTTCACCTATCTCAAAAATTGATCAGACTAAATGGAAGAAATTTAAAGACAAATTAAATTATAGAGTGAATCAAAGTTTAGTAGCCCATAAAACACTTGTTGGCCCTGAACTATCTCGTATAGATATACCACAACCACTGATGGCATTTCCATCTTTTAGTGAAGTTGAAAAACTTTTAAACGGTAAAACAATGATTGAACCACACAATTCAACTGAGGGGCCTCCATTAAATACTGAAAATATTTGTCCCATGCCTTCTTTGTCTTTAATAACAAAATCTGGATTACCTCAATTGTTACCACCTGAAAAGTCTATGATTGATAATATTGAATTAAACATTAATCAAGAAAATGATGTGATGAATCATTTTGGACCAAAAAATCTGCAGAATATCCAAAAGTTAGTATTTTGGTTAATATGAATGTACTAAAATAAAATCATGTATATACTAAAATAAAATCATGTTATTTTATTTACAGTATTGTTGAGCAAGTTGAAGAATTTCATCGACCATCTATTGACATTAAAAAAATAATATCTAATATTTTAAAACAATTTCCTAAAAATTGTTTGCGTTTGATGTTTACTGATGTTTGTCCTATTCACGTAACCAATAGACGATATGCTATTTCAGTTTTGGTAGAAATACTTGGTTAGTATTTGTACAAATGAAAATTGATATTTTTTATAATTATTTTGTGCGTTTATTTCCTAAGGACTACATAAAAATGGAATTCTCAAATTAACTCAACCTTGTAAAGCAACAAACCCTTCATCTATTTCAATTGAAATTATTAATCACAATTTTTTTGAATATCCTTTTTAAATTTTAGTTTTATATTGTTTTTGACTAGTTTTTATTCAATGATTTTTCTGTACTGTTATTTTTATATAATACAATTTAATTATTATTTTTTTATGAAAATCAAAAAATGACTATTTTATATGTAAAATCTAAAATATTAGTTCCAGTTTTAATTTTGATCACTTTTATCTATATAATGTATATATTTGATTGTTCTTAATATAACTATTCATATATTTTTTGTTTGTTATTAAATATATTTTTCTTTTTATCATTGGAGCATTATATTTATAAGAGTAAAATAATTTCTTAATTTTTTAAAAAATTAAACTTTTTCTTATTAGTTTAATTTTATTAATTCTATTGTAAAAATACTTCTGATAATAATTCACCATTAACAGTATGTATTTTTTTTTCACATCAAACATATAGACAATGCAACATATTAATCAATAGTTTAAATGCTGTGATAATGATTTATGTTAATATTGATCATAATTGTTTTTTTTTTTATGTTAAAAAAGGCTTTTTTACTTACTGAGCCTCATACTGTTGTAACTGCTTAATAACTTAAATTAAGTACCATTGAATAGGCTGTTATTAGTTGACTATACTATAACTAAAACAATAACTAATTAAAACTTGAGAAAACCTAAGAGAATAGAATCAATAAGAGTAATATTGTGATAATTCAATACATAAGAATAAGACATTTTGTGTCATTTTTTATTTTACAATGGCTGAACATAGTTTGTAAAACTGAAATCTTTCTCTCTAAGTTCCAAATAGAACAATGTATACTAGTGACTGTCGATGGAATGTCAAATTAATGAAGTGATTTTTAAGATGTGGCATATTTTAAATTTCTATTTAATTGATAATTAACTAATCAAAAATTCATCCCATAAAAGGCATTTCGGTACAGTAAAAAGAAAAAGTTCTATTTATAATAAAATATAATTTAATTTATCTATTACACATACATTAAGTACTATTTCATTCTTAAATATGTTTAATGTTTATATTTATAATGATTATGTATTATTATTGATTAAACATACTCAATGGTATTATTCATTAGTTACATTACAATGTACCATTTGTATGTAAATAATAATTAATGATAGTCACAAGTTCTAATTCTAATTTTATATTTGAAACACCGTATTTCAAACCCATTTTTTTTAGACTGAATAAAATAAGTTTCTTAAGCATCCAAGTTATTACTTGTCAATTAGCAATAAAAAATATACTTGTATTAATAACTGTAGTATTCAATAATGTTAAAGCGTTAAATTTAGATAACTATATTTTTGTCATACTTGTGTTATAAATGTAGTGAACTTGCTAATTATTTCCTTAAATAATATTGTCTAGACATCATGATTCTAAACATTTAAAAAAAAAAAAAATGCAAGCTGGGGATAACATCTGGCCCTCTATTTTCTTTTTATCTAAGATGCCATAACTATAAAACATATTCTCTGCCGTAATACAGTGTGTAACTGTAAAACAGCGATATTCTCCGAGCTCTTAAATTATATTTATTTTGGTATGTGTTATTATATCAATAATTACATATTGTACTTTGGTTTAGTGACTGTCTAATGACTACATCTTATGATTCTTATATAATAAATATCAATTTTCAATTATCAAGTACGACTAATTAAATACAGTAAAAACTAAAAACGCTAAAAAGTAAAAACTAATAATACATGAAGTAGTGAGCACTGACACTGAGCACTGATAAATTTGTCTTATCGTTTGTTAAGAACAACTTAGGTATATAATATTATATTCATGAGTATAGTATTATATTTTAATTTTTATTACATTCCTAACTTCATTCTATTACCTAGAAACTTCGAGACGATAAAGAATAGATAACTATCGTAAATTTTATATCGATTAATGCAAGATAGTTTGATTCTAATTAATTTTTCGAAACATAATATCATAAATTTGTAAATTATCTTAAGTCGAGATGATTACTTTTAGTAATGATCATAAAAATTGTACATTTTTAAATTTTATAGTGATGTAACCCGATCATTCGATATTTTAATGTATGTGATTATATTAAATTATCGATATTTTTGATAAATCGATAAATTGCTACCCTCCCTATTTTTTGGCCGGCATCAGTATCATATTGCTTACTATCACGCGTTTAATTTTCGTGGTTTGTACATTTTTAATATTGTTAATTTTTATTATTTTATATATTTAAGCAATCTGTAGCATTATTAATGCATCTTGATTATATTTCTGGAACACGGAAACAAGACAATTAAAATTTAATCACAATGAACAGTATGAAAATAAAACTATTGATTTCTCATAAATATTACTCTCCATCTCTATTGTGTAATTTCCAAAAAATAAACCATCATAACTTATTTTCATCGTCTCTCAGTTATTCCACATTATGTAATAAACGTTTATTTCAACACTGTAAGTATAATTTTAAATTATAGATATGTCATCATATTTATAATTGTTTTGTGTTGCAGTTGTCAAACCACTGAATTCTTATAGTTATAAAAGTATACACACCACAAGTTATTTGAATAATAAAAAGGATTTTTATAACATATTAGGAGTACCAAAAAACGCTTCTCAGAAAGAAATCAAAAAAGCTTATTATCAACTCGCTAAAAAATTTCATCCAGATACCAACAAGGGAGATCCTAGTGCAAGTAAAAAATTTCAAGAAGTTTCTGAAGCCTATGAAGTAAGTATAGTTTATTTATTACTTATTGTTTGTTATCAATTTCACTTAATAAGTTAAAAGTAACAAGAGTACTCCATGTTTATTTTGATGTTTTAAACAGTAGAATCCTACCAGTTAGCATCATTTTAAGTTAGGTTAATTGTAAGCTATTACTATTAGCTATTTTACTTTTTTTTTTTTATTTCTTAACTTAAGTACTTGTTATTTTAACTCATTAAAGTAAATTATATAATATTTTTGTTATATATAAGCAACTTTATTAATATAAACATAATTATAGTAGACTTCTCACTTTATGAGTTGTCTTACGACATGGTTTACTGTTCAATATATTAGTATATTGCTTATAAAAGAAAATAAAATAATATTATTTCAATATTAGGTAGAGTTGTTTTCTTCTTTAAATCAAAATCTAACTTGTTATAGAAGCAAGAAAAGCATCTCTTATTTATACAATAGTTTTATAATAGTGAAATGACTTGTTATAATAATGTAAATATTTTTATATAAAAAAACTTATAATACAAAGTAGACTCTAAGTAGTAAAATTAAGATCTATTAATTAGTAAAATATGATTTATGATGTTCATGAATAATTTTTTTGATTAAGAATATTGTATATTAGTATTTATACCCTATCCCGCGAGAAATCATGTCGTGCAAAAGCGAAAACTAATAGGCTTTGTGCATATACCACTAAATTCTTGTGAAATTTGGATGCATAGAGGGGATATGATAGCTTAGGTGGTTGGAAGATTTCATTCTACATGTGCAAATCCGGCATGATCTCTTGTGAGACAGACTACAGAGAAAGGTTATAAAATTTCAACTACTTAAAATAGCTGTTGGCTTGATTTAGCTTAATTTTACCTATTTTAAATACTTATAAAATTGTGTCAAACATTTACAGATAGGTATGTTCATATTCTATAAAGTCATTAGTCTATTTTTCAGATTAAAGGTAATCAATTAGTTTTAAAAAAAATTTAAATAATTCTTAAGTACCTATAAAAAAAACACCCAAAATTAGCAAACTTTAATTCGTCAAATTTCAAATTGCTACATCAAAAATGTTGTTAATATATTTTCTGCAAATGACAGTGAATGGTGTCAATTAATATCATTATATAATATGTTGAATAACCCCTGTTGATGTTTTATACCTTCTTATTAAATGCTCTAAAATTTTGTCAGAATTATGTTTAAACTATTGAATCTTTTTAATGTCTTTTTCTAGTATTATTTCATATGTAGGTATGTAGGTGCAAGTCATACTTTGATTTATTAATTTATAAATTTTTAAGTTTTTTTTTAAGTGTTACAGTAAGTTTATTTAAATATAATATGCAGTTAATGTGTTAAAACACCTTTAAATAGCAATTATTTATTAAATAACTTTACGTTTCGATGTTTTATTGAAAAGCACCTCCATATATATTAGAGACTAATGCATTATTTATAAAATACTCATAACTTAAACATTACTTAAAAATTATAATATATATAAAAAAAAAAAAAACACTAAATAAAAATTTATTAAGTAAAATTATTACTTAAAAATTTCATATTAGATTAATTTACTCAAATATTTAACATAACAGAGTTCAATAAACAATTTAGAATAATTTTGTATGTTATGAATTTGCTAGATGAAGACAATGCATGCAGATGCAGCATTCTCTTAATTTATTATCATTTGTTTTTTTTTTTATTGTATGTTAAAATAATTAATTGTTTTAATGTAATATTTGTCCAAATATTAAATAATAGGTATTATTTTAAGTATTTAAAAAATTCCATTTAATTACTTGTACTATTTTTTTAATTAATGATGAACATCAGCTACTATTTTTGAAATGTTATAAAAACTTTAACAATTTGTAAATGTTTTGCTTTGAATGCGAAGAATTCTTAAATTTTGAAAGAATAGTATACAAATTTTTTTTTATCTCATTTATTTTCATACTTTTTAATTATTTTATATTATTTATAGGTGTTAGGAGATGAAAAAAAAAGAAGTACATATGATACTTGGGGATCTACAGGTAATCCAAATATGGGTGGACCTGGAGGAGGTGCAGGAAATGGCGATTTTCAAAATAGATGGAGTTACCAGTCTAATGTAGATGCTGAGGAATTATTTAGAAAAATATTTAATCAAAGTGGATTTGGGAATAATAGTTCGTTTGAAGAAGATTTTGCTGATTCAAAATTTGGTTTTGGAGCTGCTGAAGAAGTAATTATTATTTTTAAGTTAAAAAAAAGTTTTGAACTAATTTTTTTCTTAAATTAATTTCTCTTAGATTGTTGTTAAAATTACATTTGAACAAGCTGCTCGAGGTGTGAATAAAGATTTAAATATAAACGTGGTTGATATTTGCCCAAAATGCCGCGGTTCTCGTTGTGAACTAGGATATAAAGCAACAACTTGTACACATTGTAATGGAACTGGAATGGAAACAATATCAAGGGGTATAGAATTTATAATAAGTTTTTTTTTTCTTAAATAATTGTATAAAAAAAAATTTTTTAGGTCCATTTTTAATGAAGTCGACTTGTAGGCAGTGTCAAGGAAGTAGAGTTGTAATAAAAAATCCATGTATAGAATGTCATGGAAAAGGAAGCACTGTACAACATAAAAAAGTTACAGTGCCAGTTCCAGCAGGTATGTTTAGTTTAAATTTGTCCAATAGTTTAACTGCATTGATATTACATGTAAGGCTCTATAATTTTCTTACTCATAAATAATCATGAATATTCATTAAAAATGTGATATGTTTTATAGTATTAACAATTAAATTATTATTAATTTATTGTAATTTACATACTCATACTTTTCATAACTTATTTTTAAAAATAATAAAAAATATAATACCTATGTAACTATTTTACTCTTAATACTGTAAGGGCTTTAAATTTTTATAATCTACTTATTAGTTTAATTTATTTGTTTAATAAATAAATTTTAAATGCTGGTAAATTAAATAAATAAAATATATTCAAACTATTTATGTAATTAGGTGTATAAATATTACTATTCTTAATATTATAAAATAGTAATGTAATTTTTTAGAAAATATTTATAGATAAATTTATAATATATCTGTTTATATTCTTGTTATCGGACAATAAAATTGATATATGGATTGAGTTTAATTTAGTTATTAATATTTTTAATAGGAATTGAAGATGGACAAACTATAAGAATTTTGGTCAATAGAAATGAAGTTTTTGTTACTTTCAAAGTTGAAAAATCTGATTATTTTAGAAGAGAAGGTTCTGATATTTATACAGATGCAAACATTTCTATATCCCAAGCAATATTAGGAGGATCTATTAGAGTTAGAGGCATTTACGATGACCATACAGTGCAGGTAATATTTATGAAGTCTATTGATTCTGTAAACTATTTATTAAATTTTTATTATTTTTAATGTATCTTTGTTTTAATTTATTTTTAAAAGATTTCTCCTGGTACTAGTTCACACACCAAAATTAGATTAATCAAACAAGGAATGAAAAGAGTGAATTCCAATCTACTTGGTGATCATTATGTTAATATTAAAATAAATGTTCCTAAGTCATTAACAAAAAAACAAGAAGCACTGATCAAAGCTTATGCAGAGCTTGAAGAAAACACGCCTGGAACAATAAAAGACTTACATCATAAAAAAGATGGTAGTTAACTTATTTTATATTTTTTTAATTTAAATATGTTGAGCTTGCTAATAACCATTACCAAAAAAGTATACAACTAATTTTATAATTAATTTTAAAATTAAAAATTTTCATTCAAAACAATTTATTTTTAAAATAATGTAATAGTTTCATAATTCATCATTCTTAATTTATTTATCTTAGATGCTTAAAACTCCTGTTCACACAAATGAACTAATAAATTAGATAACTGTAAACAATGTACATACTATTATAGTTAATTGTTATCATTAACTTAACATAAAATTTAATTTTGACTACTAGTTCTTACTTTTAAGAAATCTTTTCAGCACCTTCTAAAATATATGTTTTTGAATAATTTTATTTTCTAATGAATAAATGAAAACCATGTATAATGTTACCATACATAAATAAAATAAATGTATAAACTTCTGATTAATAAATTATAAGTTTTTGTATAAAAATCAAAAATTGATTCTAGTTAACATAATATATAAAAAAAATATGAACATTTAAAGGAAAATAAAAAATTTAACATTAACATTTACTTACATCTAAAAACTACCATAAAAAAATATTGACATTTAAAATAATTGTGAAAAATAAACTATTTAATTTAGACAAATATATTTCAGCCAACAGTTTCTAAAATTTAGATTTATAGATTTACTATTTCTTATTTTTCCATAAAAAAATGAAATGATATTTTAAACCTTTGATTTTCATAATTAAAAAATAAAATATATTTTACCATAAATGTAGAAAGTTATTTTATTCATGAATTCACTCTGTTACATTGTATATATTTATTTATATATTGTATTTATAATTTCATCATGTATTATAACTTTTCTTTAGATGTAAACTAAGTAAGTTTGTTCGTTAAATTTTATGGATGTGTTTTTAGGTATTTATAAATAATTGTGAACCAATATTACTCTGGAAATTTAGTAATAAAGTGCTATCTATTCATGAGTAAGGACTGTACTCGTATAGTCATGGTATACAGTTTTTAGTAAATTTAAATTGTCATTTAAATTACTGCATTATTTTAAATATTAATGATTACTCATATGTAATAATATCACACTATGCATTTTTAACTAAGATGTTAAAAAATATTAATTTCTAGGCACCCCTCAACCACCAACATTTTGTAATTGGTGCCCTTATATTTAAATCTTAGATTAAGTGTCCCATATAAAAACTACCGCTACTAAAATAAAATGTAAATTTTTTCTAAAATATGTGGTAGATTCTAAGATATTTTATATTTGTGAAAAAAAAAACTTATCATGGCATGACAGCTAAATGTTATACAAAAGTACAAATTATATATTTAATTGATGCTATCTTAGAAGTAGATACTAGATTCAAGAAAAAATATTTTGATAAGGGTCCAAAAGTATTGTGAGTACTCTTTAGAATTCAAATTTGTGTATGGTTATATAGGTATATACAAATAAATTATAAATTGTGATCAACACTTAATACTTTATTTAACTATTAGAACATTTATAACGACTAATGTAAAATCCATAAATTTCTGTGTAACTTTATAGTTTATACGTTTATGTTATACTATTAGTATTAAACAAATAGACATCCACCCAACCAATAGTTTTTAATTTACACTCCTAAATTTCTTGGTGTGCGCCACTGTAACATTTCAATACAATAATGTTTTTCTCTTAATTTTCATAGTCTGGGAATTTATTTAACATAGTAGTTGGTTATTAATGCCTTTTTAATATTAAACAAGTCTGGTCAACACAAATAAATTAACATTATTTTTAATTAATTTTTTTTGGTTTAATTTAAATCAACTCATTTTTATTAAAATTATTATGTTCATTTTAGAAATGTTTAAAAAAAGATTTCTAGTTGTCATTTATTTAGTTTTATAACACGATAAAAACAAATTATTAATTCAAATATGTTTTGCTAAATTTTGTGAATAATTAAAAATGTATAAATTAGATTCAAAATTTAGTAGCAATTTATTATTAAAACAATATTTGTATTTAAACTAATTACTGCTAATAATAATGAAATATATCAATCTTTTTTTTTTTCATTAAATTTTAAGTTTAACATTTAAATTTATTGAAATTAGTTAGTTTTTAAAAAACAAAAAAACACTATGAATATAATTCAAAAATAGTCGCTTTTTTAGGCCCATCATCTGATGAAACACAATCAACCCAAACAGCTGATGATGGGATTTTCTCAAAAATAAAAAAAGCACTATTGGGATAATTTACATTTTTTTGGAACAAAATCCACTTAATCAATCAAGTTCAAAGTAATTACTTTTTTGTATATAATTTCTTATATCTTAAAAAATGAATATTAAAACTTATCTAAAATCCCAGTCTATGATAAAGGAGAGATTAAACTTTTTAACTTAGAAATATTATATATTTTAATTAATAATTAATTGTAATTTTTTTTACAGGTAGTAAAACATTTGATCAAGAATTATCAGAAAAGGAAATGCTAGATAATTTACGATCTATATTAGGAAATCAAAACGATAAATAAACACATCAATAAAACTTATTATTTGTGCTGTTTAAGAACTTACAATGTCAATGTGTAATTATCGTATACTCATTATAAAATATGTCCTTTTATAATTCAAATAGTTCACATGATTTTTCCAAAGTACCATGTAATGTTAAATTATTAACTATTTGTAAAACTTATTGTAGTTTTATTTGTTAATATACAAAAATATTTAAAAAATGATGGCTTATTATTTTTGTCAAATTATGAAATTATACTAAAATATTTTTAACTTAATTGCTTGAATATAATTGATTATTTGATTTTTCCAATTAAAGATTACAGAATTTATGAACTTTAAAACCTAATTATTTAAAAATTATTTTTTTTTTATAAATTATTCTCATAACTTTATTTCATATGTAAATATTTATTTAAAAAATATCTCTTTTGTTGTATTAATTATTTAATTAAATTTTATACAGTAATATTAAAGTTATTATATGATCAAACTGTATAAATACATTATTTAATCATAATATTTTTGAGTATTTATATTATGTTAGTGGTATACAGTGGTATAATCAAGATTTCTAAGAGGGGAAAGGAAACTATAAAAACCGTGTTAAAATGAATACAATTTCTATTGTCATTTACTATAGATAATTTTTACAACATATTTTGCACATAAATAAACATTTGACAATTTACTTAATAGAGTATAATATATTAATTTCATATCTTATTATCGTAGGTATTGTTAAAATTTTAATAAAAAAAAATATGTTGATGGGAAGGGCACATGGCATATTGTTACCAAATTATATTTTCTTGAACATTGGACATTTTGAATGGACATACGTAATTTAAATAAATAATATTTACTGTTTTTAATCATAATATTAATTTTTTTATTATTAATTATAGTATACATGCATTTTCAATCAAATTGTAAAGCTAAGGTCAGTAAAAAAAATTTAACAATACAATAATTCATTGATCAATCTTCGGAACTTTTGGAGTCCAGGGTTTTTCCCTGTGGACTTAACCAAATATATTTGATCTATGAATATTTTTCAACAATATGAATTCATTTTTGCAAGTTTGCTGTTAATCTGTATAATCGTTTATCACACCAAGTTGGTGGCATAATGGACTAAAATATGTTGTTATGAGATAAATAGCACACACCAATTAATTTAATCAAAACAAAATAAATATTTTTTACGAACTTAGCTAACAGTGTGAAGTGTGAACTAACACGTACTACGTACAACACTGAACAGTGAACAGTAAACTATTAAACTCTAAAGTAGATAACATTTTTTTTTTTTTTTTCATATTAAAAACGAATAACAGTTAAGATTATAATTATAAATAAATTACCTATGACCATCGCGCGAATAATCATACATTTTGTTATCACTATAATATGTAGGCCGATATGTTTTCTTTCAATTGAAAATCAGTATTTTATCAAGTAAATTAACGGAAAAGGTCCAAATTTTTAAATAACCATTCCGATTCCTGAAACACTTTCTCGGGAGTCGACGGGAGCGTAGGACATTTGGTTAAAAACCGTTATGTCCCTACAAAACCGGGACGTATGACAACCCTGACATGGCACATCTTTTTATTGGTCGTATTTAGGAGCATAGGGCTATGCAGTATCATTTACAGATTAATGAAATTGTATTGACTATTGATATGTTGAATAATGCTACATTACTATCTTTAATAATATTAATTCATTAAATTTTGTAAATATAATGGAAGGACCATCCCATCTACAAGTATGTAACCTACTAAGAAGTGCTTAGTGATGTAGAGATGTAGTCTAAAATTTCTTTAGTAAGTATATATTTTTTTCTCAGTACCTATTCAATGTAATACGAATGATCAAGTTATTATTGGTTGACAGCCAATTAAAAAAAAAAAAATTGTTATGTTAATATTAAGCAATTATGTAAAGTCACTGAAGGACCATTTAATTATTGTACAAAATAAATAGTATTTTAATTTAATTTTGTAAAGAATACAATTATTATAAAGATTAACAATCGTCGAGTAAGTTAAAGATTTCTTAATATGTTAGTAAAAATTATTATTAGTGAATCATAATTCATAATATCTTATTATCTCGATGTCTATGATTATGAATTTATTTTAGATTAGCTAATATCTACTGTCTTAGATTGGGGTTCTAACCATCTTTTTCTAAATACCGAATCGAAAATATTCCTGTCTAGCCAACAAAAAAAATTAACAATATTTTTAATTAATTTCTCATCTACTTATATTTTTCCACTTTTTTCATTTAATTTAAATCAACTTTCATGATTATGTTCATTTTGTAAATAATGTTTTTAAAATAATTTCTAGTTAATATAGTGGAAACAAATTTAAAAAAATGTTAACGTGTATTTTGTTGAATTTTATATTTTAAAAATTATAAATTATATCTAAAATTGATGTAATAACTAAAAAAGAAATATTTATACTTAACTTATAAAGTAAGAACTAGCTGCTTATAATATGATAAGATAATATATTCTATATTTTCATTAAGTTTCAAGTGAAACATTTAAATTTATTGAAATTTGTTTATTTAAAATTTTATTTTTAATATCATTCAAAAAAATTTCATTTTCAGACTTTTTTTTTTACCTTTTTTACACAATTGACTTAAACGGTTAACGATGGTATTTTCTAGTATAAACAAAGGCGGACTGGCTCAGTCGACTAGTCGGTGATCGCCGATTGGCCCCTCGCCTATTTTAAACTTAGCCCTTATGCTTTAATCTTTATTTTCCCCAGAAAAGTTGTATAGTCGACTGTATTCGTTTTAAAATATTATCTACTTACTGCTTATTAATGATTTACCAAAACATACTAATATTATTTATTATTGTTATTACTTATTAGTTATTACTTATCTACAATACAAATATAGTATAAATTGTACATAGCAGCTAATTTTAGAATAGATACTAAACTTTTAAACAGGGAAATCATAACTGATAATCGATTCTCAATAGCTAATAGTTTTGATTTTATGATGTTAAATAAAATGTTTATTTCTATTTCACAATTGTGCTCTACAGACTACAGTTCATACCGACAAAAAGACACGGAAGTTTTTAAGTACCTACATAAACAATTAGTTGGAATACGAATGTTTTATACTTTGAAGATTTATTGAAACTTTTAGGTAAGGTCTATTCTTTAAATATTAAAAAGTTCTCACGCGTATGTGTATACTTTATAGTCGTATATATATATATATATATATATATATATATATATATATATATATATTAGTAATACATAAGTAACAATTTATAATATTCCATTATTGTTACTAACTATCAATAAGTAGTAATAAGTGTTAGGTAATATTTAAGTAAAATATGAACACCTGGGTTTTAAAAAGTACATTTTTTTATATAAGCGTAAAAGTTCACATTTTTACGAAATTTCTTAAAATCATGAAAATGTACAAACTATTTACTAGATAAAAATTTATAAAATATTTATATTTCAATCTACGTTTACCGATACAGCTAAATCCGAAAAATAACATAAGCTATTTTTAATTGAAAATTGTGTTGTTTTAATATTGAAAAAAAATAGCAATAATTATACTTAATTGTACAATTTATTTTAAATTTTATATGAATGAACATAAACATGGCAGTAGTGATGGACCTAATCCAAAACAAAATCTGGTAGTGCTACGTCAATTGATATTTGATAGAATTTACTAAGAATAATGATGCAATTGCAAACATATGTTTTACAAATATAAAGTAATAATCAAGATTATTCATTCAAAGATGAAATACTTAGTGATAAAGATACAAAAAAATAACTAAGATATGCAGAGATTTAGATAAAGTGTAGTGCATTTGAGTTTTTATACTTATTAGAAACTTATCCATTTGATTATGAGTTATATGCGATATATAAGCTTGTAGTTACTTTAGAATTCATGCAAGTAACTTGAGAAAGAAATTATTCAATCATGAAAAGAATTAAAATATGATTAAGGTCATTGTTTGATGGAAAATTAGAAATGTATAATGTTAATTTCATTTGAATATGATATGGAACTACCTTATAACTTTGTTAATTGCGCCACTTCAATTGACAAAATAGAAGCTTTTAGTAGGATAAGTTAGTTGTAAAAACAGCAAAATATTCTATAATTTTAATATTTTTAAATTGTTTTTTTCTAGTCATAATTAAAGATATATATCAAGTAAAATTTAACATGTAATATTTAGTAGAATTAAATTTAATTCAACAAAGAAAATTAAAATAATCATAATTTGAGAAATGCAGCTAAAATGTTGTTCAAAAAATATACATTAATATTTAAGCAGTTTAACCTGTGTATTTTAAGTAATTCTTTCCTTTTAAATTGATGTATGTTGCGGTTGGGAATGCTAGTCTAATCTATTCACACTTGTGTTTTAGGTACACTCTGTCCCATTTAACAGCACCTTTCTAAAAACCGTATGAATCATGGTTTCAAGTAAAAAAAAATGCCGACTGGACTTAAACCATAGCCAGTACTTCCCCCCAGTATGATTAAAGCATTATTGGAATAATTTACATTTTTTGGAATAAAATCAACTTAGCCAATCAAAGTTTAGGATAATAATTTTTTGTGTACATAATGACATGAAATTTGAAAATAATTATCAAAACTCACCTAAATCCCAGATTAATTAAAGAGATAAATCTTTTTAATTTAATAAGTTGTATATATTATGAATATTAATAATTAATTTGTGATTTTTTTTCAAATCATTTCATGAAGAATAATAGAACATTTAAATTTAAAATTAAATTAATTTTTTGTACCATATACATTATTACAATAGAGGATTGACATTTCTTACATTGAGTATCTTTTTACCTTATTGTATAGATACATAAATACATTGTTCATTTAAAGTTATTAGTGAATAGTAATAATAAATAATAATATAAGAAGAAAAAGGAGGTAAAATTTTTGTAATTCCTTTAAATTTTTCATACACTGTAATTATTAGAGTAGATGTTAAAACTTAAAAGTACCAAGTACATAATACTATAGTAGTTAGTAGTATAAGTCGATACTCGATAAGATAAAAATTGATTTTCAATATTATTTGTTATTATTTACTTTTATTCTTATCATC